ACAAGGGGGTATAATATGTTAAAACAAGCAAATGATCAGGTACAGAAAAGGATATAAATGTTCCTGAAGACAGTAAACAACACCTTCAGTCATTTGATGAGTTTAAGTAAAACTCCTATATGAGAGAGCTAAGGACAGAAAAACATCAGGGAGAAATGATAAACAGCTTCCAGAAGGACTCAGACAAATGAATGGGTGATGTAAATCCACCACTCCTTTATCCCAACTTTTTAATCAGTCACCAGCCAAGCCTGGAGGTGGAAGAGGATGCTATCCCAGCTTCAGGACTAACCAGGTGACTCTGGGCAAGTTACCCTACTAAGATTCAGAACCTCAACCAGAAATGAATGACATGGTGGGCAATTCTTAAATTTGCTATGAGGATCCAATAATTAAGACATGTAAGGTGCTTGGTCCAATGCCTGGCACATACTCCTGATTTGGTAAATGTTAGCTGAGATGACTGCTATTAAACAGTAATAATGGGCCCAGCTGTGGTAGCACAGGTGATAAAGCCCTACTCATGATACTGGAGTCACATGGTTCAAATCCTGGGTAGACCTGAACACACTGGGTACACCCACATGGCTGGGAAGAAGAGGGGAGGATCAGGGTATAGAGAGACCCTATCAAGGATATCCATATCTCTCTCATATGAAAGATAAAAATAATGTTAACATTAAAACGTAGAGGGCATGGGACCAGCAGTTAGCATAATGGCTATGTCGCTGGACTCCCATGTAGTCGACTGCAGTTCGCGTCCCGGACCCGGTGGCTTAAAACTCACGCCGGGCGCGCGTGTGTGCGTGCCCAAGATCCTGAGAGGAGAATGGAGAAGGGATTGCGGTGTGGCCATCCCCCCGGGGAGGTGATTTCTCACTTTCTGTCTCTCTGTCTCTCTCTATCGGTCTGCAAAGTGCATGCGCCCTATAGCGAAAACCTCTCCAAAAAAAAAAAAAAAAAATGTAGAGGGCATGATGGTTAAGGCAGCTGGCTCCCACATGGTCAACTGTGTGGTTCAAGTCCTGGACTTGGTAGCCTGAAAAACATGCAGGGTGTGTGTGCCCCAATTCCCAGAAGGACAGAGAAAGACAGGAAAAGGAATTGCAGCAAGGCCATTCCCCCAGGGTGTGTTTTCTCACTCTCCTCTCTCTCTCTCTCTGAAGGGTACACATGCCCTCTGGCAAAATCAGAAAAAGAAAAGAAAAAGAAAATCTTCTCTTATCATCAGAGATGTATGGGCTAGATTCCTTTACTTAATGTAACAGAAAAGGACAATGTTATGAATGATAGCTGGGCCAGTACAAATGTGAAAACACGTGGAGCTTTTATGGGTTTAATGTTTTTCAGAAAACTATTTGCAAAGTTAACTCAAGAAATTGAATAGAAGCTAGTTTATGGGTTTTATGTCACTGGAACAGTGAGTCAAATTTACAGACTTCCCTGGATGCCCCAAGCATCATCAATATAAATACTATTAAACCTACTCTTTCTCTTTAAGCTCTGGCAAATCCAAATACCAATGTTCTTCACTAATGATTTTCTTTTCTTCCTCTTCTAGTTGTTTCTTGGTTTCTGAATCCAGTCCCCTTTGCATAAACTGTCAAAACAAAAATAAAATCACTGTCAACCAATTTTCTTAGACTTACCCTCATTTTTCCACAGAGCACATTTTAAAGCTACTGATTGTGCGTTCCTCACCAACTGAGGGTGCAGAGAAGTGACTGGTAAACTCCAGGCCTCAAGTGGGCGGTCTGTCGTAAACACACTTTCACGAGACATTGTCATGCTCACCTGGTTCTTAGTAGCAATGGCAGAGCCGAGCAGCTGCAACACACTGGCCCACAAGCCTAAAATATTTACTATCTGGACCTTTACAGAAAAATGTTCACCAAACTCTGTCTTAAGAGTCCAAAAGAGCTAAAATCACAAAAAAAATACTGTCTTAAGTTACTTCATGGCATGGGCAGGCATTCCACTCACATCTTCATCACCCTCCATCACCTAAGAGTTGACCAAGTCAGAGGAGTTCAAGAACACTGAAAGCAAGTGAGCAGGTGTTAAATCCTCAGCCCTCATACTTACCTATACTTAGCCCTAGCTGAATAGCTATGCTGGCTAGGTTACCCTCAGTGCAATACTCCAGGCTTTTTCAAAGGGTCTCAACTCTATGCACATATGTAGTGTCTCCTTACAGCCATCCTGGTAGTTCAATTTTTCTAATCAATGACCAAGCTTCTAATCCAAATAAAGGTGGGTAATTTTTTTCCCTTTCATTTGCTTCCAACATCCAGGTAAGTCTCCCTCAACCACTTGGGTGGGATTGGGTAACTGTTTTTCTCTCCTCCTGCTGTTTTTGCTCTCCGCCTGCTGAAATCCAGAGTCAGATTTCAATCTGTGCCCTAATCATTCAGCATATTTCCATGTGGCTAATTCTAAGAACTAAAAAATTGCTAAAATATTTGAATTCCTAGTTGGCCAATTCACTCCACTTCCGTGAAATCAGTGTGACTATAAACCATCGAGAGCAGGACATTCAGATTTTGCTAATATGCATGAATGAGGTGCTCCAGGAACCTTGTGTTATGCCACAATTTGCCCTCCATCCTCGTCACCTAGCCCAAACTCCATTCAAATCTTGTCCGTATTGTTTACTCTGCCATCTTTTGAAACGTTACTTACGCCTTACTTCCTTTTCTTGGAAATTCCACCCCTCTCTAAACATAACATCTAACTATGTACAAAGCTGTCATTAAGAACAGGGGGTCTGGAGCCAAACTGCAGCATTCCATTTCCGTCTGCACGGCTTCTTAGCTATGTAACGTGGGCCAAGTTACTAACTTCTGTGCTTTAATTGCCTCAGCTATAAAGTTCATGACCATACTATTCTCTAAGGATTCTGTGAACTGCTAGGTTACTATATGAAAGCACTTGGAACAGTGCAGTGTTTGGCACACAGCAAGGATTATAAATGTTTGCTATTAATATTATTTAAATGTTAAAGCTTGTGTGTTTGCTTTTTTTTTTTTTTTTTGAGAGGTTTTTGCTATAGGGCATAGGCGCTCACCAGAAAAGGAGACACCACCCCACCACCTGGAGGGGGGAACCACCCCCCCTGGGAGGATGGCCACAAGGCAATCCTTTCTCCTCCATTCTCCTCTTGGGATCCTGGGAATGCATGCACACGCACCTCGTGTGAGTCTAAGCCACCAGGTCCAAGACTCAAACTGTGGTCGACTACATGGGAGTCCAGAGACATAGCCATAACGCCAACTGCTGGTCTCAAAGCTTGTGTGTTTTTGTTTTAATTTGTGTGTTCATTTTATTCACCCTTGTCTTTTTTCCTTTTTCCAATATGAACGTATAGGATTAAGCTGATTTAATTTCAAATAAAAAAAATCAATTTTGCTTAAAGCTGGGTGACATAACTCACTTTCATCTCAACTGTTATAACTTTATTCCCACTGGTACAGCAACCCTCATCCAGATCATTAGAACTTTTAGCCTGTTATGCCTTTCTTCCACTAACGTATTCTTCACTGGGCAGTTAAAGTAACCTTGAAAAATAACACAGCTAATGACACTGACTCCCAGTGCTCACAGGTAAAGGGAAAAAAATCATTAATCGGGCCTACAATCCCCTGCAAGTTGTGACCACTGCCTACTTTCCCAGCTCCAGCTCCACTTCTTGCTACCTTCCTTCCAGACATATTGAGTTATCTTTAGTTCTTGGAAATGAACATGCTTGTCTTTTACTTTCTTGCCTCTCAGACTGCTGAACTCGCTCTTCCTGGTTTAGGACTCTCGGCTCCCACGGATCCACTTGCCCTCCAAATCTCTCACTTCCGGCGAGAACCCCCAGGAAACCCCGAGAGCTCCCGGTGCTTCTATATCACGGAACCTGGTACACTGTGTCCTGGCTGCCTGCTCCTGAGCGTACAAGCTCTTTCCTGAGAGTCTGCCTGATTCAGAACCTGGTTCCCAGTGCCTAAAGCAAAGCAGGCGCTGAGTGAATGAATGAACGCAGAGCTGGAGCCCCCCGGGGCCTCTCTGGTGTCCTCTGTGCGCCCGCCGTCTCGCCTCCAGCCAGGTAGGCAGGACCAGGTGCTCCTGCCGCCCAGCCTGGCATCCCCAGTGTCCCCGCACCTTCATGCGCAGCAAGTTCTTGGACAACTTGGTCTTGCGCTCGGCCGCCATATTGCTTCCAGCCCGGCGCCACGTTCCGGCCACGAGCCCCAGCGCGCATGCGTGAGGGCGCGCGCGTAGTGGCGTCATTATACGTAACTCGCGTCGCCCCGCCCCGCCCCGGCCGGCGGCTCCGCCCTGATTCTCGCACGCTGGCCTGTCCCGGGCTCTGCGCGGTAACTTCAGTAGGCGCCATGCTCATGGAGAAGCTCCGGACACCAGAGTGAGCTGAAGTCTGAAAATCGCTCAGTAGGACCTGGCAGAGCACGGGCCTCTTCTCTTTGGTTTCATCTGCCATTTGTCTGTTTTCATATTTGTAAGGGGACGCGCTGGAGCTCCGCTGGGGGGCGCGCTGCCCGCCGCGCCGTCGGACTTGCCACCCGCCGCACCGTTTGTTTAACCTTTTTTTAAAAAAAAAAACAAAACAAAACCAGATTACCCTTTCCGAGGAATAGTTTGTTCATAGTCACAGTAGCATCATGAGGCGGTACCGTGACGAGACTAGCCCCGTCCCAGCGGAGCGAAGTAGGTACAGACGCAGGCACCGCGGTTCCGAACGGCCCGGCGGCGCTGCGCTGCAGATTCGGAACCGCGTGAGTCGCACGGTAACTGTGCGGCTCCGAGGATAAATGGCCTCTGCGATGCATAGGGAGAATAGCCCGTCAGAGCATACCATGTGCATGGAAGAAAACCTTGCTTTAGTGTAATGGAAGGAACTTTGAAAAGAGGGTAGCCTTCGAGCTCCCTTGCCTAATGCTCTGGGTACCGGCAGACGCCATCCACTCCCTTCACCTGAGCAAACGCCCAGCCTAATACCGTTTGGCTAATGGCATCTGTAGATGTCGGATTCTTGCGCTGGACGCCTTAACGTTATTTCTTAACTCTTACAAGAACTGTGAAGAGGGTGTTGTTGCCACCACGTAGCTAGGGACCCTAAGGCCCAGAGGGAAGGGGCTTCCTGGGTTCACACAGATGGTTAAGGGTTAGAATTGCAGTTCAGAAAGCTTTTTGGATATTAACAGCGCTGCAGGTTTTCTCAGTGGAGTACATAGAGTCTTTTCAATGTGTGAAATGGTTACAGAAACTCATTCACTCATAACTTCGTATGAGGTGCTAGGACACACGTGAGCTCTCTTTCCCACAGCTGACATTCTGGACACACTTCAGTGGTAAATGCCCTGGAGAGAAAACAGTAATGTGAGAGAGCGCCTTTTAGGGATACTTTAGATCAGGTGGTCTGGTGATAGTGCTAAGGCGAGAAACACCTGTCTGAAAAGTTGGAGGTAGTACACCCTCCTACTTATCTACTAAGGACAAGGAATAGAATCTGTAAAGGTCCCCAAGTGAGAACAAGACAAAGTGTGGAGGAAGTTTACCAAGTGAGAAGGACAGGCTAACTCCAGGCTGTAGGCTGTGTCCCCCTCAGACTCCTGTGTTGCAGTCCTAGTCCCCAGAACCTAAGGATATGACTTTATTTGGCGATAGGGCCTTTAAAGAGGCCTTTATGTTAAACCCAGACCAGTGGGACAAGCCCTGATACAATGTCGTTGGTGCTCTTGGACACACAGACACCAGAACCATCTGCAAACCAAGGAGAGGGGCCTCAGGAGAAGCCAAACATGCCAGTACCTTGATTTTAGATTTTTAAGTCTTTGGAACTGTGGCCAGGTTAAATATAAGCGCCCCCCTCTGTAGTACAGGTTCAATAGGTGACATGCTTGGGACCAGAAGTGTTTTGTATTTTGGATTTTTCAGCTTTTGGAATATTTGCATATGCATAATGACATATCCTGGGGATGGGAGCCAACTTTAAACATGAAATTAACATGTAGTCATATACTTTATAGCCTGAAAATGATTTATACAGTATTAATTTTGCTTCATTTTGACTGCAACTTGTCCTGTGAAGTTAGGTGTGACATTTCTACTTAGATTTTGGGACCAGCAGGTGGTGTAATGGTTACTCACTGGACTCCCATGTCGTTGACCTGGCGGCTTAAAACTCATGCTAGGCACTGTATGCGTGGCCAAAATCCCAAGAGGAGAATGGAGGAGAAGGGACTGTGGTGTGGCCATCCCCCCTGGGGGGTGATTTCTCACTTCTGTCTCTGGCTCTTTCTGTCTCTCTGGCGAGCATGCACTCTATAGCAAAAATCTCTCTCAAAAAAAAAAGAAATTTTGAATTTTCACGTTAGGCGTGTTCAATCTGTATTTTGTTATGGTGGCCCTGGTAAACAACACACCTCCTAATTAGCTATAGATCGTGGTGGTGCAAGAGCCCTGTAGGGGAAGTATGATGTTCATGAGAGAGTACAGCAGGGTTTCCTAAGCCATCCTGGCCTGGCCTGGGAAAGGATTCCCCTAAAGGTGTGACATTTCAGCTGAGATCTGAAAGGGGAGGAGTTAACTTGGGGAAAGACCTTCCATTCATTCACATTATTGTGTTACTACAGTCACTGTCCATCTAGAGAACTTTTCAGTCGTGCAAAACTGAAACCGTATGCATTTAGCAGTAACTCCTTCTAACAGGAAAAACAGTTTCTAACCCTGTACTTTTGGTTTACTTTACTTCTCTTACACTTTAGGGGTTAGCTGGTGGTTGTAGCTTCTGTAAGTAATGTCGTCTATAACTTTTGTAACAAATATAATCACCTGTTTTAGACAATCCCAAGAATAACTGGGATAGGGACCAGGGTACTAGGCAGAAATCTTAGGAGCTGAGAATGTTCACTCAAAGGACACAGTGTAACAGGTCAAATCGCAAAAACTGTAATAATGCTACCATTTAACATAATAGTTACTCAGACCTTTAGATTGTTTTGTTAAATATAGCTTAAGGAAAATATATTGTAGCTTCCCTTAATCTATCAGTGTTTGTCACAAGTCTGAGTCAACAGATTGAACATCGCCATAAGAACAAAAATAGGGTCATGAACATCACATGGAAAGGTGCACAGGACAGTTCTGGGGGAATCCCAAGGGTGAGTGACCCTGAAGTAGCTGAATCTATGTTACAGGTAACAGTGGGTAAACAAAAAGTCTAATGGTATACAAGTGCTGGAAATTTCTGTTGTGGGAGTTGGTTGAGAGCTTCTTAGCTCTCAGCCTTTGTGCTTGAACACTGCCAAGTACGGAAACGTTCCCTGCTCTGCCCTGCTCTCAAGTATTCACAGAAACAGTGGCCGGATTTTAGGCCGCAACACCTTCCACCATTTCTACCTCCTTTATGAATTTGACTTCTGCTCAGGATTTTGAAGGAAGTGCAGGAAGAGTAGAGTGAAGAAATGACTCAGTCTGCCACCTGCATCCAGGATGCACAGAGGTGACTCCAAACCGGGTCTGGAATGATGAACACATGTCTCGTCAGCTGTAGAGGAAGTCAGCATTCCTGGCAGAAATGAGAGCCTATGTACACCGACAAGGATGCCAGAAGGTCCCCACTTGCCTGTGGACCACCCCCATCGTTACTGTTACTGCCACACTGGATTCTGATCCACCCCCTCCTGAAACACTGACATTATCATGTCATTCTACTCGGAAATTTATAATGCTATTAAATAGTTATTGTCTGAGGGATAAAGGTCAGATTCTTCAACCTGCCACTCAAAATTCTGTATTTTTATTTAACAATGAAAATACTTAGAGTTAAAACTAATCCCTGAAGTCTCATTCACTCAATGTGTAATAATTGGAAAGTCATTTAAGAGGTGCCATGTAATTTAAACTTTGAATTAAACTTTCGACAGGAAGATCAGCCCTTCATCTCTGAATGGTGCCGAATTGCAGAACACAGAGGATAGGTCTCCTCTGTAATGTATTGACCTATTGTAGTACTCAGCCAAGGAGACATTGCTGGGGGAAGAAATCTCCCCTCCCCAGCCTAGCGAGTTTATGCAGAGCCGAAATGGGTGAGGGGAGACTCCCCTACCCCGCATAGGGACATGATTACGTCACAGTCGTTTGTTTTTCCTCCATTTCTTCATCCCATCAGAATTTTGGACACACACACATACCCACCCAGTATGTTTTTTAAGCTGCTAGGGACTGGGATTTGAACTGTGATTGTCTATCCAGGATTCCGTTCCCCTGCTTAGCACTTTACCACTGCACTATGGATCTGACTGAAAGAGATATTTTGAACAGTTCTCCACACAACTCAGCCCTTTCATGATGGAATTTGTTGGAAATATGAAGCCCCCGATTCATGCCAACTATTGGATCTATCAAGAAAAGGTTCACGGAATCTCTTCACTTCTGTTGCAGATCTAAGGCTGTTCTATGAACACTTAATATGTGGGAACTGAATAATTAATTTTGGTTAATTTAAATTTAAAAAGTAATAGTGTGAGCTAATTTTTTAATATTGCTTCTCAGCCTTTTGGGTAAGATCAAGTGTAAAATAATTTTTTTATATACGCAGACTTGTTTTGAAAGGATTACATATCTTTTGAACCCTTGAAAATGTAGGGTATGTAAGTAAGAAATATATATTGTATTTCAAAGATGTAGGTTAAAAAAAAGCAAAATATCTCAGTGTATTTTCATATTGATGATATGTTGAAATAATTGTATGTATTGGCTTAAATAAAAATTATAGTTAATCTAATCTGTTTCTGTTTACTTTTTTTTCTCCTGCTATAGCATGTGTGCACTCACTGCAGAGGCAGAGAGAGACAGATAGCAAGAAATCACCCTCCTCTTCAGGGATGGCCATGGTGCAATCCTGTTTCCTCCATTCTCCTCTTGGGATTTTGGGCATGGATGCACATGAACCTGGTCTGAGTTTGAGGCAGCTGGGTCTAGGACTCCAAATGTGGTCGACCATGTGGTGAGTCCAGCGACATGACCATTACGCCATCTGCTGGTCTTGCGTTTACTTTTTAATGTGCTAAAAAATTTAAAATCTATGATTGGCTCATCTTTCTTTTTGGGGCAGCACTGATTTAGAACTTCAGAAGCTATGCATGCTTTCTCAGTATAGAAACTAGCATAGAAGAATCTGGGGTGAGCACAGGAGGGAATTCTTTTATGCAGTGAGATAATGAAGGTGGTGTATTACATATTAGT